TTAAATTTTTATTTAATAGTTAATAATCTCTTATCTTAATTATAAAGTTATTATTATTATTTGATTTATAATTTCTTGTTTAACTTGGAAAGTTATATTTCTTATAATATTTGTAATTAGTTTTTTATCTAGTTTGTAAATTCAATATTATATAATGAAGTTAATAAAAGAAATCATATTCTACTTGCTTATAAAATAATTTTTAAAAGAATATAATTATCTTTGAATATTTTTGATCTCATTCTAGCTGATTAATAAATGAATATATATATTATTTATCTTTAAATATTTGTATTCTCTCTTCCATTTGAAGTCATATTTTATAAACTCTTCCACTTGATTTAATATTACATGTTATTTACATGTTCTTGCCCATAACAAAGCTTAAAATTATATAAAATAATAACAGTATATTATATAATTTCTGAACTTGACAAAAAGAAAACAATAATAATAAAAGAAGTTATCACCAATTTTTGATCAAATCCAATTTTTATTGCCAATATGAACTCTGAAATTCTTGTCAAAATTCATAATTCTTTTTTCATCCCAAAATTCATTGCAAAATAGATATATTCTGTTCTAAAGGATAAAAAAGTTCCAAAACTCAAGATTGTGGAATGTGATTACAATTTTTTCAATCATTGTATATTACCATGTTGTTATATTTTTCACAAATAACTTTCTAGTAACATTGATATTTTAATGCTTGAGATATGAAAAATTTTCAAGAAACCTTTGCGAAAAATATATTAGTCTTGTGATTTAGTGAAAATATCCCAATCTTAATTAGAAACTGAAGTGGTTGTGGAAAAGAATCAATTACCAATCAATGAATTGTTTGTAAGAATAAGAGATTAACACTATAATTTAGCAGAACAAGACAATATGGAGGAAATGTCAAGATTTATTGAAAATTTAGGAGGAGCTTTGATTGTTGATGGAAAAATCAGAGGATGAAATTTTAAGTCTAGAAATCAATGATCGATTCCGGCAAAACCAGCAGACAGTTAGGGAAATTTTGCGAAACAATATTGCAGATAAAAGCAGTGCATATTTAGAATCATTAAAAAATCGACCAGATGCAAACTTGAAATCTATGTTTGTTGTTTTAAGAGTTGGTTTGCACCGCTTAATTAGTAGCAGAGTTTTATCCACGTGACGCAACTTTATCGTGACTTATCGTTAACATTACTACGTAATGTATATTGCAACGTGATTGCTAGATTAGAAGCAAACGACGACAATTTTGCAGTATGTCGTTGAATAAAATATATACCGATGTACGTATTCATAAAAAATGTCAGTACCTTCATTGTGTTTGTGTATGTAAATTGATATCGATATGAAAAATTAGACAAAACGCCTTTTAATGACTTCTATTTGTGTGTAATAATAAAAGGCTCTTATGATAAGCAAGCAATCAATTTAGGTCATTCCAATAGAACCATTTATCATTTTAGAACTTCCATTCGTGTGTGTGAATCAATTACGTATACGATGGGTTATTAAGTCTTTTAATATTCTAAAAGTGCTCCGATGAATTATTATGACAATTCTCTTTAGCAGGCAGTAACGATAATATTAACGACTAGCGCGTATAATATTAATAACCATAGCAAGTAAAACGACGACAATTTCACAAACGTAATATAAATACAGTATAAATTATGTAATTGAATAAAATATATTACCAATTGCTAGGATCAAGAAAGTGATATTATCGCGTTTTTATCATATAACGATAAGATTCTGTATACTCAGAATACATATAAATGAAATAAATTATAGAAACCGTTTGGTCGTTGTGCTTTAATTCGAAACATAGTTAATATCGATTCAATGATTACCTTTAGCGTTAGGATCATGATCTCTAATTTTTTTTTGATTAAAAAAATATAAGTTTAATAATGCATATATAAATTAAAAGAGTAGTGTTTCATCATGATGAAGTTGTAATTGTTCTTAGATATATTTTCATTCTCGTTAATTTCATCAAAATCTGTTTTGCAATCCAAAAAAAATAGTAATGAATTAATGAAGTCAATAAATTTTTACCTTCGTTTGAACACATAAATTGATATTTGTCAACCCTAAACATCCGATATAAATTTTAATTAATGTACAATGTCAATGTGATTTATATTTAGATATAAAAAGTACCTGTCTCAGTTAGAATTGAAATTAATTTTGTAGTAAAGATTCGACTGGTGTAGGTGGTGTTTTTGTTTATATTCGTAGAAATGCTTTTGTGATTTCATCTCCTCATCAAGTTTATCTAATCTTCGCATTTCTAGTTTAAGACACTTTAATTTCTTCATGTGTCACAAGATATTATAAAGAGCTGCAGTACTGAAAAAGCATTCGGTTTCCACTCCTCAACCTCCTCGATATCGTAGATAGAGTCAAAAAAGTCTTTAAATTCCTCAGCAGTTGGTCTGTTTTAAGAATGCAATTCAATGATAAATTTGCACCATCCGGGATCATTAATTGGTATCATATAGTAGAGATGTTAAAAGTCCGGTCTGGTTCAACTCAACTCCAGACGTTGAGTTTTAATTATGACTCCGTCTAAAGTCAGGTTCGAGTTCAGACTCATTCATCATGTGACATGAGGTATCGTCACCGATAAAATCGTCACCGATAAATCGTCACTGATAAAGTAATCAAGTGACATGAGATATAGTCACTGATAAAGTCAACCACATTTTATATAACAAAATCTCTATAGCAAACAAAATCATGATGCCAATATAGAGGAAATTTATTTATTCTATAATAATATCAGCAAACAGACGAGAAAAATGCTTTATATATATATTTTTATTAATGAGAATCTCGCCTCTTTATTAATAGATTTAATTAATATATGTTACAATACAAGACTTGTATATTAATCTATATAATTAAAATCAGCATCTTTTTTGTAATTAATCAAATAATTTTTTAATTGGTTTTGTTTTGAAACAAAGCACATTCTTTAAATTATTTGAATATCCTTTTGTTCGGCATTCTTTAATACCATTGTTTCTCGAGAAAATAATCACGTATATAAGATAGCACCTGATTGTCATGTGATTTTTGGGACTTTGTCTTTTATGGTCCCTCTCGACTCAAAATTGTCCGGGCCAAGTCGACTCGAAAGACCAACTTCAGTGAGCTTTTTAACATCTCTAGTAGTGGATGCTCCTCCACTCTAAATAAGCCGTTGATCGTATTTCTTGATATTATTGTTTTGTTTTTTCCTTTGTCCAGGCTGTATCAATAAGTCCTGTTGAATTGTTTTTCTTAAATAGGCCGTACCAATAAGTCCTATTTTGTTATATTAATTAAATCGATTCCCCTTTTTTATCATATTATTATTTTCGCCCCCTTACCTTTTTAAACGTCAATTTGCGTACAAGTCACCACGGGAAGCCTTTAGAACGCCAAAGAAACCCTTTACTCGTAAATAATTCAGTCTAGCTCTCACCCCAGTTGCGTAAAAACCCTCTTTGACCGATTAAAATAGTACTTTACGGCTATGTAAAATTTTATGGGTGACACAAAGAAAGATGTCAAAATTATAGTACATTACGTAGCTGACTTCACGTCAAGTCTTAGCTATGTAATCAATTTATTATATTATAATGCAGGCTACTACTATTATTTTCTTCCTTCATGATTTATTCTCTGAAGTTCACATAAGATTTTATTTTCAATACATATAAATTCAAGCTAATCTAATACATTGTCAGTTTCAACTTTTCCCAGCCATTTATCTTTCGGAAACTACTGAAATTTTAAAACTTGTTAAATTGCATTACAAATAAACAAAAAGTATAATATCTTTATTGCCTCATCATGCGCATCTGAAATATTTGGTCATCCTTTTGGAGCATCATCACACAACCTCTTTGCAAACTTTTAACTTCTGAATGAATATTATTTATTCCACATGAATTGATTAAATATCCAACACCCCATATGTCAACCTTCACATCATGTTTTCTAATTTACATCTCAGGGAGCATGACCGGTTTCTGAAACTTCTTTTAAAGCTTTTCTGCGATGACTTTTTTTCCCTTGCCAAATGTTGCGTAATCAAAGTCAATTAAAATGAATTTTTTATATTCATCCTTATAGCGAACAATGTTTGGCCATCGAATATCTCTGTGCATAGGTGGGTTGTGTTTAATTCCATGCATATCCTATAAAAACATGCGCATAAAATGTATATTTGTGATATATGTACAATAATAATTGTGGCAGATTAAAACGAAACAGAGTGTGATGTTTAAATAATCATAGGTAAATAATATATTACCGATTTTAATGCTATACTCTATGTTCTAACCTAACCCTAACCCTTCTCTGAAATTTTTATCCCATATAAAAAGAGCCAAATTTTATTTTGATTTGATTTTATCCTAATCTGATTTCATTTTAATCTGGTTTATTTTTAACCTGTCACAATAATTAACAAAACATCTACACCAAACTCTACCTTTAGACACGTCAGTATACAAATTAACGCTTGCAATAATTCTTTGAGATTGGTTGGTGTTCGTTGCAATCCACGCGGTGCCAAATAAACACAATGCGAAGTGGAATGTTCCAATTTGTCAGTATATCTAATTTTATTCTCCTATATAAAATTGTTAGAATGCTCCTTAATTAAAAGAAAAGGTGAAAAATTTCAAACTTACACGTAGCGTTTCATAAATTTCTATAAATGCTTAACCGAGGCTTCTTCTTTAATATTTTCTTAACGCTATATCCGAGTTCAATAATAGTTCCATTTGATCGATATATTGTAATAAAATCTCGGGGGTGGGGGCATAATTTTACTATAATAGGCAGTAAACGACCTAAATAACAATAATAGAATTAGCATTTCGTCGAAATAATTTAAAGTTCAGAAAACACTTACAAATATTCCGACGGAGATTCATAACGCGGATTTTATGTGGAAAGTTTCCTAAATCAAAATCACCTATCGTTTCAGATGTAACTTCTGGCTATTTTCTCTTTTTACTTGACCCATCTTCAACGGACTCAGACAAAGTCACAAAAGTGACCAATTTACCAGTAGCATAGTAACCAAAGAGGTATGAAGAATCTCCGTAGGTCCATCCTTTGAATTTCTTAGTTAATTCTTGTGAAGGATCCTCAGTAGAATCTACCGACTTTTCCCCATGAAAAGGACAAACATTTTTCACCAATGTAACCATGTCTGGGCAATTGCGACCTGTAAATTCTTTGTTAAGTATATTCCTATCAATCAATTGGTAATTGTTAACTTTACCTGTTGAGGTTCTTTTGTTAATATTGCGATCAAATCTCATTGATTCCAAAACACTTTCCAAACATTTCTAGCGAGTTTTTAATAATAACATCCCAAAAAGCATGATAAGAGTCTTCATTTGTTCCATACGAAGGAGGATAAATTATCTGTGATAATAATCTTAAATAGAGTTCTGTACATTCCTCTGTTGTACTTTGCATACTTCGTTTATTTTCAGATAAGCCTTCCAGACCACCAGTATTGATTTTAGAAAAATGGGCAGGAGTAAGCGGTATTTGCATATTAGGATTTTCGTTAAGGAAACCACTAAGATCACTCCTCGCAGGAAGCTGACCAGGACTTTGAGTTAATTTTGTTAGTATCTCGGCAGTTATATCTAAAAATAATGAAATATCGTAGAAATGTTAAAATAAGAACAGAGGTAAGAAAAAAACGACGATATTAGAAACTTACCTTCTGGAATTACGAGAAAATAATATAGATAAGTTGCGTTCGGTGATACAAAATTAGTATTCGATATTATTAATAAGTTCACTACGTTGACTAAATTTATTAATGACTCACCAGTGACAACGGGTGGTTCTACGATAACGTGAATGTGTTTTTTGGGCGTTGTTTGACGATAAGCAGGAAAGAAAGAAAAGCACAAGATTGAGGATTCGATATTATTAGCAAATATGACACAGCGTGGGGTGAAACAACGGCTATCAAAATTTAAGCCACATTATGATTGAATCTCTGTGTTAGAACATACCAGGCGTCAAGAAAGTCGTAAGATAATCAAGTTTCTCGCCATCATCCGCGCAGGTATGAAGGATAGACTCTGCTTCAAATTTTTGAGGAACATTATTAGTGAAAAAGGAGCGTAGAGACACCCTTTGCTCTCGAGTGAAATCGAGACGAGCAATTTCTTGATAAACAATTCTATTTTTAAAAGATTAATTTATATACAAAAGATCTTTAAACTAATAAAAAATATTTATTTAGTAAATTATTCAGTTTTGCTTATAGTAAATATACTATTTAAAAATTATTAATTGCAATAATTTTTAATTTAAGCAAAATAATATAATACTATATACTAATTTCAAATCAAACTTAAATCAGACTCAAATTTATATATAATAATTTAGTTTGAATTTAATTTAATTTATGAAAATACTAGTTAAAACTTTTAATTAATTAATTAATCTAAAAAAATATATATTATATATCTAAAATTTAAGTTATTAAATATTTTTTCTAAATATAATTTAAATATTAATATAGAAAAATTTCTCTAAATACATTTTTTGTAGCACATTCTTTTTAAATATATTTTATAATTTGGTTTCAAGCTAAAATTATAATACTAAATATAAATTTTTTATATTTTATATATATAATAAAATAAATTTTCCAATTTTATTATATTTGAAATCTCTTTATAAATATAAATATATAATATATATTTAATAAAAATTCAAAAAATATTATTAATCAAAAAATTATATTATCATTATTATTATTATTATTATTATATTGTAAGAAATTTATTAAAACTAATACAAAATATATTTTAATATTTATAATAATAAAATTAATATAGAAATTAATAGAATATTTGATTTATAGTTTAAAATTTTATTTATATATAGTCAACATAAAAAGTAATAGCAGATATGTTTTTCATCTATAACTTAATAAGCAATTGCTAAAAATTTACGAAAATTTGGCATTATATTCTTTAGGATGATGAAAACAAAATTTTCTAAGGTCACAAAGCATGTTATTATAGTAATATTTTGTGAAATTACGTGCTAAAGATGGTGAACTGGGGGCTATCCTGGTTAAAGTGCTATAAAAAATTATTTAAAAATATTTTTTATAAGCAAGTATGAAAATAATTTTATAGAAATATATTTAAAAATATAAAAAATAGATTTGTAATTTAAAAAAAATTTTATTTAATATTCATTAAATAAATAATAGTTAAATAAAGGCTTAATTTAAATAAATTTCATAATAAAATATAGTAAATATAATAAAAATATTATTTTTATTATATTTTATTATGAAATTTATCAAAATTAAATCTTTTTTAACTGGTATTTATTCAATAAATATCAACCAAAATTTTTTTTTAAATTACAAATCTATTTTTTTATATTTTTAAATATATTTTTATAAAATTATTTTCATACTTGCTTATAAAAAATATTTTTAAATAATTTTTATAGCTCTTTAACTAGAAAAGCTCCCAGATCTACCATTTTTGACACATGATTTCACAAAATATTACTATATTAACATGCTTTGTAATCTTAGAAAATTTTGTTTCTGTTATTCTAAAGAATATAAACTCAAATATTTATGATATTTGAGTAATTTCTTGTTAAGATATTGATAAATTTTGGCAAAAAACATGATTACTATTACTTTCTGTATTAACTATAATATATAATTATATACTTTTATTAAAGATATATAATTATATACTTTTATTAAAGATATATAATTATATCAAAAAAAATATTTTTATAATACTAAATTCAAATATTTTAAAAAAATAGTAATGTTACAATTATATTATAAAAATTATTAATTTCATAATTTGTAATATTTTATAAATTCATAAAAATCATGTGAAGAACTTAGAATATTTACAATTATATTTTATATTATTAATTATTATATTTATACTTTTCTATCTTGTATTTTTATATTTTTATATTTTTATACTTTTATATTTTTATACTTTTATACTTTTTTATTTATTTATTCCAAGTAAATGTATCTTAGCTAATCAAAATCTTTAAACTTATACTTATTTATTTATTTTTTCTTTATTTTTTTACTTTTCATATTTAGTAAATTGAAACTCTATTTTTTAGTTAGTATATTTACCTTTTATATTATTTTTTATTTTCAATATTATATCTATATTTGTGAAAAATATATAAATACAAATTGTAGTTGAGTCTTGACTCAACATGTCAGAACTTGAGAATAGATAATATAATAAAACAAATACCTTTTAATACTTTAATAATTCATCTTTCTCTCTCAATTATACACTTCAAAACTTGTGAACAAGTAGTTTTAAATTATATTAAGCTATCAAAATATTGTTATTAAATTGATATTTTGTTATGGATTAGTTTTTTAATATTTGAATTATTTGAAATTTCTCAACTAAAATTATTATAATCTCTTTCTTGTAAAAAGAACAAAGTGAAAGTGTCTTTATTATTGTTAATTTTGGAACATATTTATATTAGCACAAATTAATATTTTATTTAATATTTTAATTGATGTATTGATTAGAATATCTTGTTTAGTAAGTATTTAATTAGAATACTATTTAAAAATCAAATATTATTATCTTGTCTCTTTTTCATATTTTGTTTCCCTTTTGAATTATAATAATTTCAGTAAAAACTTAAATATATTTTTCTTATTATTCTTATATTTGTAATTGTCTCTCCCAATCCCATTCTCAAATATATTTATGTATACATGTTTGTAATCATAAATACACTAACTTTATTATTAAATATAATAATAGATATCAATAATAATATTTCAAATGACGTTATTACTCAACTTACAGATATTACTAATATTTCTATTGGACATAAAATTCTTCATCAATCAGCTCATCAAAGTCTCGAGGCTTATGCTGAAAAAATGGTCAATCAAATGTTTAAAGGCAAAAAAAGGTTATCGGTATATGAGATTGGTGATCTAGTAAGAGTAACCATCCCCAAAATTGATAGATTTAGCATTGATTAAGCAACTCTTCCATGTAAAATATTAGATAAGACCAAAAATAATAAATTTTAGTTGGGATCAAAATTTGGCATTATTGATGTTTTTTATTGTGCTGGTGAACTTGAATCTTTGGGCACTACTAACTTTCATGAACTTGATATTATACCATCTAGTAAAATATCAATCAGAGAAGCAGCACAGCTCCAAAGTGTAGCAGTAGATGTCATGGTGGACATTCATGTCAGAATAAAAATAAATAGTTTATTCAATTATTATGCAATTTTTAAGCATAGAAAATGAAACGTGTTTTTAATAAAGTGTGAAATTTTCGATTTAAAGGTTAATTCATAAATGCGTCAGTAGCGGTAGTGATTCTGGCTGATAATCAAAAAATCGGCCAAAATCGATTTTTCGGTCTGTTGATTTTGAAAATTCGGCTCAGCTGATTTTCAGTGCGACATACTAAAAAAGGAAGCTAATTTATGGAAAGAACGCGCGGTTATTAAATTTATAATTTTCGGTCGAAAAATTGACTGGCCGATTTTTAGTGCTGCTTGCGTAATTATTATCTGTGCTCGGTTCGCAAATCATGTGTTCGGGCAACTATTAATGGTCAATTTTATCGTTTGGGTTATGCAAAATTGCTTCTCCGACATTTTTTATTAGAACACCTAGTTAGATTTCGACATCTGTTTCCCGTATTTTTCACATTTTTCATTTTTCGTGTCAGATTTGTTTGCCGGGGCTGATCAAAAATTTGCGCATCCTTATTGGAACCGAGCACAGATTATAATTACGCGTGCTGCTTTAGATATTACTAAATTAGAATTTTACACAAGAAATCGACTAATCGACTTTGGCTGATAATTTTTTGATATCATCCAAGAACACTATGCGTCAGATTGCAACTGACGCGCCTCAGATAATTTAAGGCACGTCATCTAACGATTGATGTCTGAGGCGCGTCAGCTGTCACGAGCATCGATCTGAGGCACAACATATATATATTCTAATTATCAATGCGCCAGTAAAAATCGAACGTTCTTCACCGACAACTTGGTTCTGCAAACAAATTTGCGATTTAATTGTCAAAATCCGAAACGTTTCGCCTTATATGTTTGAAACACTAATTTAAAAATCAAATTGGGCAAACTAGTTTCGCCCAAAGTACTACTCGCCACTCACTACTCTCTCATCAACATTGATTCAGTCACTAAGAATTAAACAGTTATCACCAACAAACCTGACGCAGAACTGATTCTATAATTGCTATCACTATCAATGGTAAGTCGACTTCAAATAAAACATCAAAAAAAAATAATAATATGCGTTCTAATTTATTTTCAGCATTTACTAAAATGTCGAGTGGAAGGTTTTTTTGAAATACCAAAATTTCATGTTTTTTATCTTCAAATTAATTTCCCAATTCTATCGCAAATTTATATTTTAAAATACAGGTAGACAAAAGTCACCAAACACTTTTTCTGACGCTTAATATTAATTGAAAATCAATAATTGTGGGTTCTTCATTATTTGGATGCATTCTGTGCATATTTTCAATTAATTTGATGTATTTTCAGGTAGGGTATTGCGCCGTTCTTCCTGCAACGTAGCAAACAAGTTTTGGGCTTTTTTTAGACTTTGAGAAAATTTTTCATGCATCTTTAAAGTTTATCCAATAATCTTTAATGAGATTGAGGTCAGAGAACTGTGCTGAGCAATCAAGGAAAGCTTTATCATGTGAAATCCATACAGTATGGACATGTGGACTGATTCAGACATACAAAACAATATCAATGATTTTTTCCTGGATAAATGTACTTGTAATACATGTACATTTAGCCAATGTTTGTTGTAAGCTTGAAGTAGAAAATTTTTAGACCAATGATGAGTTTTTTATAACACCATAATCTGTACCCACACTGAAATGTTTTCGCTTCTTCAATAAATTATTTTAGATTTACACGTTTGCTTTACAATATAAATTTTAATATATCGTTATGCACAAATGAGATTTAAGTGCTAATTCCTTTCTATAACCGATTAGGACGTAAAGGTAACCGTAAAGGTGAATAAATAATGCATATCTTCTGCTCAATACGTATTATAAAGAGTATATCTTCTGTGTATTGGTATTAAGGAAAAGAATTAAAAAAAATCAATTCTCATAGAGAAGGTATGCATGAGGTGGCGAGAATAAAAACCAGAGTGTCTTCATAGAGTCAGATTCTTATATAAACATCGCAAAAATTTTTGCTTTAGCATTATGCCTTAACTTTGAAACCTTTATCGAAAAAATAATTACTGGATATTGTCTCAAGGCTTAAATCTGACAAAATGCTCTACAAAAATTTCATCACACTTTTTCAGTTATTTTTTATCTTGATGATATTAATATGCAATACTTTTGGTGTTTCTTCATTGCCAATTAAACGAAAGTAAGACGAAATTTAATTATAAAATTTTAGTTTATGCAACTTAGAATAATTTATACATGTATGTTACAAATATCACATTTATAGCTACATGTACGAGTGTCCGGAGTGCACTTATATAGGGAGTCCAACAGGTATGATTAACGGGGATGGGTACGGAATTCAGAGAATTGCAAACATTGCGAGCTACAGTGGTAGTCAGTAATAATTGATGTTTATAAAAACTGCTAGTGATATCAATTTAATATTTTAATCCTGTTTATACAATAAATTTCCAACTAAGCTATTGCTACACGTATTTTATGGCAATAATATCGATATTTATACAGCAGTGATATTGTAATTGTACTAACAAATTTATTCGATTCTTATTTTTATAGTTACTACTTTATGGGAATTATTCATACTAATCGGGAAGTTTTCAATTTATAATTAAGAATTTAGCATATTAATTATTGTTAATATTTTGTTAAGGGAAATTCTTTGCTTATGGTGCATAACATCTAAAGTCATAAAACGTTTGTATTTTATAAAATGTAAATTCAAAATTTAATCCGTGAACATTATCAAAAAAGGGCTTATTCTATCATATACACGGATTAAATATTGAATTAACTTCTTAGTTGAGAAGTTTATACATTTTATAAAATACAAACGTTTGATGACTTTAGATTTAAGCACCACACCATTCACAAATCAGCCATTAATTTTATCGTATGTGAAATCATTCAGTAAACATTAATGGCTGATTTTATGAACAGTAACTTTACAGAGTGATATCTCTGCAATCACTGAATGAAATCTGATAATAAAATACCATTTTATTTAATCAATTTTGGTGAATATAATGATATATTTTTATTTGATTTCATCTAGTGATTGTAAAAATATTGCTTTGCAACTGATTCAAAATTGCTATTGGTACTTGCAAAAGATTTTGCTCAAAAATTTGTTTTCGCATTTTTAACGATCAGCTTAGCAACTTGTCATCTCAACAAATCTAGTTCAGATAGCATGCTTGATATTAAATATTTTATATAATCTGCAAATTTATTTAAAATTTTTCTTATTGCTCTACGACTCGAAAAAGAATACTAAGTTGTCTGTATACTTATATGATGTAAGATAGATAGTGCTATCTGCACTTTTCTTAATATTTTTAGCTTTATTGATTTACTTTCAGATATCAAAAATTTTTGTTCCAGAAATTATCCATAGTGTGATTCAATTTTTGAAAGCTTTTCTAATATATTTCATTATTTGTTATATTATCTTACTACATGTAGTATACTATTTTTGTTATTAATTAAAATAATAATGCAATGCTAGTGGAATTATAATTCCACCCTAAAATAGATTTCATCTCACAAATCTTTTTACCGTTTCAGCTCTATACTAATATTTATATAACGTGAGAATTGTATATATTTATAACAATAACTATATGAACTGCAATAATAATGATAACAGTAAATCATACCATGATCTGAATTTTATAATATGCTTCAAATAGAATTAATTAAGTAATGATAATAATAATAATAATAATAATAATAATAGAAATTGTTAGTAAAGATAAAAATGGAATGGTCGAATAATTATTTTTTTGGCTTAATATAGCAATAAATATAATGAAAAATAATGTGTGGCATGATCTCTCTCACATTGTGATTGCTATTTTCAGAAGCATTGGAATTACTAACTGTTATTTCGATATTATAAGATTGAAGATATGATAAAATTTGCAAAAAATAAAAAGGTATTTGCTTTTTATAGTTCCTGTTATAAATATATAATTGACAAAGATACATATATGTACATCTCCAATCAAATTTTGATATGGATATGTACATTAATGTACGTCCAAAAAATTTTCCTGTACTAAAGATTAACGTTAAAGGTTGATTTTAAGGTCGAAGTTAGGGTTAGAGTTGAGATCAAGATTATATGTAAAATTGTCTTCCTAACATTTTTAATTAATACGCCAGGATAGATATAAGCATCTGTTCTCTTTATCATTTCATTTTATCTTATTGTGTCAGATTTGTTTTGCCGGTTTATCAAAAATTTACGCATTCTCATCACAAAAATTCGCCTAACCAAAATAAATTGGTATGTACTAGATGCACCCTGATAATTTTGTGTAATGTTCTGAAATTTTCGAGCATAAAGAACATCATAAACTTTACATCCCTAACGATAACACACATCTCAATATCCAATAATCTAATCCTTGATATCCAGTGACCTGATTTGAACAAAAATATTATTATTTGATTCGATTCATCTAGTCGAAACGAATCGAACAGTATGTAATATTTTTGTTCAGATCAGATCACTGGATGTCAAAATATTGTATCCTATAGTAGTAGATTCATTTTTTGATATTAATCAACCAATTTAGAACGTGATATCTTGATTTCCAGTTATCCTATTCGTACAAAAAGTAATGCCATTCGATTCGCCTTGATTAGATGAATCAAATGATATTATTTTGTTCGAATAGGGTTACTGGAGATCGAGATATTACATTCTAAATTGACTGATTCATTATTTGATGATTGATGAATATGAATCGGTCAATTTAGTATGTAATATTTCAACATCAAGTGACCCAATTTGAGCGCAAATAGATATTTGGAGAGTTATGGAAGAGGATTACCAGTATAAGTTGAATTGAAAAGATAGAACAGTGCCAACAAATTTCAATGATTTTGATATTAGATGAAGTTCAATTGATATATAAACAAGATTGTGACAAAATTAAAGATATGAGTGCAAATGTATTTTGGAAAACTATCAAGGGATGTTTTCAAAAAATGCCAAGCATCTATATCATGATATTTGGCCTATAGATATTATGGTGCCAATCCTGCAGGACTTTCAACTACTGTTGAGATATCATCATTGAAATCCAAAGGTTTTACAGATATCAAA